CACCGCGACGCTTGTCGCGAACTCTGGTCTTATAACTCTCCCCGAGGATGTTTATCTTCCCATCCGACCATCCATCCATCAGTGTTCCCCCGCGTTTATCTCTGTTCGCCTGTAGCACAAGTAGCTGCACGAACATTTACAATTTCTGTGCCATGAGCAACAGCCAGACCCTCGTGAAAGTGGTCGGCGTTCTGGAGGAGCGTGAACAGCATCAAACATGAGCTCTCCAAAGGAAAGTTCCTAAGCCCGTGGGCAGAATGAAAACAAAATATTGATGTTCGGAGGATTGTTAGCGAAAGACGGCGGTCTCTATGTCAGAGAGAGGGCATTTCCTGTGACATGTTCCGTTTCTTAATCCCCGGGGCTCGTTCGAAACCACCGACTCGACTCGTCGAAGGGGAAGGTCATTGTGTTTATGTGACGTAGCCTGAATCTTTTCCTTGAGCTCAGCTGTGATTGGATTTCGAAAGCACCGAGGAGCTCCGTCTGACGCGCTGTGTGCCGGAAGAGCAGACGAAAGCACGATAAACAGTGGGCTTGGCGGAAATTAGAGTTCCGAAACTAGCCGACCGGTGCACTTCTAAGCACTTAAAACGTCACCCAAACAGACTTCGGTCGAACGAACAAACGCCACAACACGAGTCCAAAAACCCCAGGAGCTCGCCTCGCTTCCTCATCGCCAGCCGGACTCCGGTCGAAGCTCTCGTTTCGTCCTGGAACGCCTACATCTTGTCTTTGCGAAAATCAGCTGGGGGAAAAATCCGAGATTCTCCACTTCATCGAGTTTTCCAACGACACGCCGGTTTTGGAATCACCATTCAGAGATTTCAGATTCATTTTACTGAAGAAGCTTTTCACGCATGAAGTTCAGACTCGAGAATTCGTTCAGAAGCGACGTGGTTCGGGGGCGGTTTCCGATCGCATCAGTTGTTCCTGCTCCACAAACATCCGATACACGTCTGAGAAGATCAGAAGGGAACGACTTCTGCAGCGAAGTTGCACAAGACCGTCCTTCGGTCTTCCTGCCTGACAGGGATCGCATGGAGTAGTTGCACGGGGATGCTGCGGCTGCTCGCCGGCCTGGCTCGAGACAGCGACTCGAATGGAGCGTTCGCGACCGTTCCGCCGCTTAAGCTGTCAGATGCTTAAGTCCACCTTTGACATTTCGCTCCGAATCGTGCCTGTATCTTCTTCGGAGCGCTTCTTAGAATCACGAATGTCAGGCTGAGATCTCGCGAATCCGGGATTCGAGTCTCGGCGACGTCCCTGAGAAACTTTCAGAACCCAGAGACATGTCAGATGCTCGGCACGCGAGATCTCAGCCTGACATCCGTGATTCCAAGAGTGGCATTCTCGAATAGGACGCGAGGGAGGGGATTCCGAATCGACTTGGGAATCTCCACAGGTACTCTGGCATCACTTCGCATTCGAAACTTCCAGGATGCAGCGTCAGAGCCTCTCGGGCGAGGAATCAATCGGAAACTCACTCATCCTGGGAGCACCGTCGACTGGAGTAATTTGCTTTCAGGCAGCCAGATCATCCGCGCCGGCTTTCCTCTGGGCGAACGCCAAACGACGCCGACGACGGCACCAGCCGAAAAAGCCACGAGCACCCGTAACACATGTGTAAGCTGATGATAAAATAAAATCGCTGTTGACTGATTTGACCGACGACTGTCCACCGGTTCGTTTAACTGTTGTCGACCCATTTGTCGAATCTAGCCGGCAATAGATCGCAACAAAGTTGTTGAAATGACGTGATCGACCAACGAGATGACCCCCGACCGGCGCCACTGATTGACTGACTACATTGCCGCTGTCCGTGTGAGCGGATAACCGCACCCCGCCCATATAGCGTAACCGAAGCGCGAGCCGCGAGGCCGTCCAGTCGTCCGAAAACTCTCTTTCGTCCTATGCCAACGCTCTTTTCTGTTGCCTCTTGAGGTGTCGCGCGTAAACGTCTGATCTCATCTCTCCTGCTTTTGGGCGGATCAAGGATCCCGGAGCTTTTGAATCATGTATAATGCTTTCGTAGGCACCATGTATGATACACCTATAATTCCGTATATTTCATGTACACGCATTCGTATCTTATATCTCGAGCCATATCGTCTGTCGGGATCCTGTTTCTTGGCGGAGCTCCGATCGAAATCGTCCGAGCCGCTACTGGAATTCTTTATTGGCATCGGGACAGTTCCATTCGCGGTTGAGTTTCGATCTGGAGACCGAGCTGACGAGGAAACCAATTGCTCTGAAGCAACGCTGACCAGGAGCTGCTCAAAACTGTCGAGTATCGACGTGAAATCGAAAGACGAGGGCGCGAACGAACCGCGATGCCTTGGTAGGATCACGTTTCAAGGAAGATTCAAAGTTACAGCTCATCGCACTCTCAACTCCCACGGCTTTCCCAGAGTCCGGAGATCCATTCCTGTGTGCGGCACATAGATTCTCGAATTCTAGTCCGCGGAGACATCTCGGGAGGATATCCGAGATAGAACCCATTTGAGTGGTTCGGGATTCCCCAATGAAAAGAGCTCCGACTTAAAGTGACTTGGATCTCAAGGAGAGGAGAGCTCGCGGAGCTCGTTCGAGTCCGAAGCACTTGAAACCCTCAAAGGGAGCGAGAAAGATGACAGACGGTGCCGTTATCTGACTGTCGCTCTCATATCAGCTCGCTGAGGGAGTAGACTCCCTAGAATATTCGACGGAATCGCTTGGGCGCGAATCCGCAGATCAATGAATCTCCCGACTTCGATATCGCCTCAAACCCCCTTTGCTTCACAGTCAAACGAGAATAAGATAAATATATTCGATTGAAGTATCTTCACGGATCAGATTGAGGAGATATAGCTCACAGAGGATCCTCCGCTGTCATCCGGCTGGAGCGGTACATGATTCCAGCACTCCGTAAATCGGGGACGTCCGGCATTGAACCCGACGAGACCAGAAGAAAAATTCCCCCGAGCTGATTTTTCCCGAATTCATCACAGTCGAAACCATATATCCATCCAGACTGGTTGCGCTTCGACATAGCTAACCACGAAGGGCCTCAAGAAGTTTTTACTGGCATTCATTCGCCGCATTAGCTTACGCGCGCGACATGGCACTTCGTTTCCCCTGGGATGATTCTGGTCACAACCACCCCAGCTGATGAGAATTTCTGATACCGGGATGCTGACCGCTCACTATTCTGGTAGCGAGCTGTGCTCCAGCAGCGGCCTATTCCGAAAACCACGATTCTGCTGGCCGCCGCATTGTCACTCATGCAGAGTACGTCTCCGCGCAAGCTTCGCACAAAACTTCAATGACAACCTAACTAAACGTTCTTGGCAAGCTTCCTTTCAATTCCCCCGGACAGACTGGGCAACCGGACGCAGAACGGCTCTGTTAGCGGCGGCGTCGCCAAGGTCAGCGCAAACCAAACGCCAACAGTGTTTGGCTACACGACGGTGAGCGCCGACAAGTCTCACGACAATGTTTAGCTTCTCTCTGGCCGGATCATAACGGCTCCCAGAATCGTGACATAAGAAACGACGGCCCAATGCTAAATAGTAATCACCGAGCAGAGTTCAGGGGAATGGGGGTGTGAGTCATGCAATATAAGCTATGATGATGATCGAACAGAACTCGGCTTTACAGGGGACTGATAGTGATTGCTCTGCTGAGATTTGAAGGAATCAGGAACGACGAAAGCTTTTTCTCGACTCGATGAAATGCGCCCAGATATCAAGAGCAATTCCTGTACGGGCTCCTGGTCGCTACTTCTGATGACGGTTGACTTCGCCCCCGGTTTCTGACACGGGCCCCGATCGCTTCCGTCGAGCGCGATAATCTGAACACCAATTTACATTTCGCCCAGTGCCCGGCCTTCGGGTACCAGTGCAACGTTTTCATCCATCAGTAAAGCATCGGCTTGACAACTCTGTCGTCGATGGGTGTTTATATCTGTGTGTGTGTGAGGTGGTAGGTGATGTCATGAAGTCCTGTTGCAAACGACTTATCCTCTCGGACGTTGATAGAAAGAAAAGAACAAGCGCTTGACAAACGCACGCCCTTTCCTACTAGCGGATCGTCGCCTGGCCAAGACTGCTTTAAAAGCACGACTACTGGCCGTGCTCGCCCATAGCGTCCACCATGATCAAGGTATGTAGAATTTTTCTGATGCTTCAAGCAAAAATGTTCGGAGGTTGACCGTGGCTTCCGTCGATCGTCCCGGATCAGTGTAGCGCTGACCGGATATCTCAGGGCGCCCCGCGATTCCTCGACGTAGAAAAAGTAGATCTCAGAAATTTCTCATGCTCTCCTCAAAATTAACAAATAAGGGAGTTGATTCCGGGCTGGTCGCCTTGATATGGTCGACAGCAATTAACGAAGAATCGAAGCGCGGTCTTTGAAGTGGCATCCGTGATTCCCGGAAAATTCATCCAATTCAAGCATTGGCAACGAGTCTGGGTAATCGTCCGTTGACGGAGAAATCCCAATGTCGCTCTTCTCAATGATTCCGGACAATCTCGGGTCGTGTAGCTCGCGCCCAACCCGCGGTTTCCTACCCGAGGTTAATTTACAAAAACTGTTTTGTTCTCTGCGCTGTATCGGCGTTCCATCCCCCTCAGTCACATCAGAATCACTTAGCTCCAAGGTCATAAAAACCTTGCCCGCCTCTGTTGCGGAATTTCAAAACTCACCTCGAGAAGGCCCCCGTCGTGACAGGGAGGTTCGTGTTGACTATGTGCGCCGCGTCGACTGAAAACAAAGATCAACAGATTAGTTGGAGGCCAATACGTATCGAAGTACTCCGAGCATGTGGAAGTTTGACCGTCATCGTCTTGGCTCTCTCAGTCAGAGCATTTCCTGAATCTCCTACCGATCTGCTTAAACCTATGCATTCCGAACAAGTCTTCAACGACTTCGTTTCCTCCGCGTCAACGGTGAAGGTCAGAGACGCTGCGAACAAACTTATTTTTAGATGCTCGGGGCTGAAAAACAAACCCCTTCCCCAGGCTATAGTTCTCACCGGGCTTGCCGCCGTCGCCGTGGCTCAATACCCCCAGCAGCAAGGAGCCGCACCTCAGGGAGCTCCGTACTCGTTCTCGAGTTCTGTCAATCACGCCGCCGGTCCCGCGGCCGCTGGCCCCCAACAAGCTTACGGCGCTCCGCAAAGTTACGGCCCTCCGGCTCCCCCCGCCGCCGCACCAGCATACAACCCGGGTAGCTACCAGCAGCTCAACGCCGCCGCTGGAGCCGGGGCTGGATTTGGAAATATCCAACAAATCGCTTCTCAGAACCCCGCCTTCGCCATTCAAGTTCCTCAGGGACAGGAACAGTACGCCGGAGCTCCTCAACCCGCTCCTGGAGCGTATGCCGCTCCCCAACAGTATGCCGCCCCCCAACAGTATGCCGCCCCTCAAGGTATGCAGGGTGGCAGGAAACGGTCGAGTGGAATGATCGCTGCCTTCCTCGTCGAAAAGAAACTCACCCAAAATTCATTTGTTTCAGGCTACGCCGCGCCGCAAGCCGCAGGAGCGGCGAATCCTTACGGGGGACCATTCCAGTACTCTAGCTCGGTGACGCACTCCGTTCCCCAGAGCCAGCCCCAAGCTGGTGCCGCCCCGCAAGCTCATTCGGGCTAATCGTCGCGAATCCCTCGGCGGCACACCCAGTGCCGATACTCCCCGCTGCATACTTAGAAGAAGCTCATCCTCAGGCAAAATGGACTTGCTTCGTAATATAAATAGAAGTTCCACTCAACTAGCCTGGAACCGTTGAGTGACCGAGAGAAAGGAACTAAGGCGTTTCTCTCGCTGGCTGATCTACTGAAGACCGCTTGGCCACGCTCTCAGCCAGTAACTAGCTCTTGTGTATAAATGAAAAACATGTAGAATGGAAGAACTTTTACGCATTGGCTGCGGGAAGGCTCACGGAACAGAATCTCACTGTGAATAAAATGATAGATGCGATTACGCGACTCGAGAGTTTTCCCTCGCCGCAACGAATTTCCCTCGCAATCCGTTTTCAGATCATCTTCTGTTCATGCCGACTTTCCGAGTAGCGGACCGAGCTGCTCAGAGATTCGATCCGCTTCTCCTTCGATTCTTCTCTGAACTTCGAAAGCAACCTAGCAAGCTCTTGGAATGGTAAACAAACAATATCTTGAAATTGGGAAACGCTGTTTATATCATCAACCATCCTGTTTGTGTACCTTGCCACATCACGCAGCTCGGACTTGACAGGAGGTACATATTACACCTGAAGAAGTCGGCTGTCAATCCAGGGGCTTGTTCCCGGCTGACAAAAGCGTGAATAACTTATCTGATAACTATATATGTGCGCATACGTTTGAATAAATGATTCAGTGTTGGTCGTAGACTCGAAGACCTATCGATAGATCGCTGTGCTGGAGCAGCTGGCCCTCTAATTTCCTACCTCCGCCATCGTGACGCGTCGGAGATTTTCTCGTCTATCGCGCCGGAAGTCAATCGCTGACAATCGAAGAATTTGCTCACAGTGGAAACGTCGTCGAGGCCGTCGTCCACATGAGTTGATCCAAAATCGATTGCCAGCAATCTTCTGCAATGGACTCCTCTGTTCCTCGATTAATCGATGAGATCTAATAAGGATGATCGTTTCTCTCCGAAAGCACCCACAAGAAGACGGCGGTGATCAGATCGCGGAATTCTGGAGGATCCGGAATTGCCGACACGTGCCCCGGAAATCGTAAGAACGAAACAATGCGATTTCACAGAGGTCGCTCCCTTACCGCTTGACAGATTCGACAATCCTCGGGGATCGCACACAAAGAGATATCATCGACTGGCACACACTCACTACGGAAAAAAGCAATCCCTTCTCAGCAATCCAGCTCGAGCACTTCCTCGACTCACTTCCATTTTCCGCGTACTACCTACATTGATCCGCGAGCATGTTGTTTTTTCTCCGGCTTGCACACTCAAGTATAACAAGAGAGTCAACTCCACGGATAGCCAGGTGAATCACTGCTAGTGCAACCGCCACTGCTGTTGACACTCGTAAGAGCGTGTCTCGAAGCTAATGTTTAGATTCGACAACGGCGTACTTTGTAGCCAACGAGCGGCGGTGCATCGCTCCTGTGTCTGCGACGGCAGTATTGACTCTCCACACTCGAATCTCTCGGGCTTGACCCTTGACAGACGTGCGATCCACCGAATGACGTCGGGGACCGGCGACGTCGACGACGGTGCGGCGGCAGCAAATGCAGCAACATCCGAGACGGGAGAGCGGCGAAGAAGATCGTAACAGCTCCCCATTCGTCCTCGTTCTGAACATCAGAGGGCTCGAAGAAAACAAGAATCGCTCAAATCAATGGACAGGTTTCATCTAATCGGTGAGCCCTCTCTCCCATCGAAATGACGACTTTCTCCCCTGGCGAATTCTTCCGAGCCACTGGCGCGCTCGCTTTCTGTCGGAACTTTGTACATCGTTGCAAGGACCAGGAAACATCAATAAATCACCTCGACCATCAGTATAACACTTGGGTCCATCAAAAGCACCCATTCTCTTGTTCATCCCGCTGATGTTTCCGCAGACGAAATTTTCGGAGTCGTCGCTTCCTCAAATAGAAATTCGGTGTTGTTCGGCAGAGCGACCGACCCCTGGGAGTAGCCGTCTCCCGATGATTCGAGCAGCAGATACAGTGGCTGTAGTTATCTTTAGAATAATGCTTTTTACGTATCCCGCCGCGTTGCCGTCGGGGCTCAATTAAGCGTAACGTCCCAGCGTCTCGAGACGAGAACTCCCTGGTGAAGCTCTTCAATCAGTGGAGCTCTAATTGAAGACGAGAGCGCGAGTCACGAGCCGAGAGGGACCAGGGAAAGATAAACGTTGCTTCCTGAGCAATGTTCGCATCTCGGAGGGGCGGTCGCATTGTTCTTCGGAAGTGAGACCTTGGTTTCGCTGAAGCCGGCGGCGGCTCCACCTCTTAATCCGCTCGTAAGCACATCCCACCCTGCTGCTTGATTTTTACGAAGTGCCACGCGAGACCCAGGAGTGCGGCATCGCTTTCCCCGAGTCAGAGAATTCTCTCATCGCTCCCCTCAGCATCCTTCTCTTCCCCTCGACTCCGCTTCGGGAAGTCCTGATGGCCGATGAACGAGCCGAAATATCGGCCGCAGGAGATCGAGCGGATCGCAAGCTCGCGAACTCGAGCTGCTGAAGGCCCGCGACCACGACGTTCCGTGGCCTGTCGAGCCCTCATTCGCCCTATTTGACAAGAGGGCGAAAAATGCGTTCAGTTCCCGATGCCTCGTAACTTGTTCTCAGTACGATCGAAGATAGCATACCCCGGCAGCCCAAATGTTCCCGCTCGACCTTTCCGTAGTCTTTCCACCAAGGAGGCGAATCATAAAATTCATTCCGAGTCGCAACTGCCTCCACCATCAATCTCGACAAGGCAGATCCAAACGCCGGAAAGGAGGGAGCCCAACAGCTTGGGAAAAAACGGTCATTTCCAGGTATGGGTCAATGATAACGTGTTTCGGGATCTGAGCGGCGCAGAACGGTCTGTAGAGCACTGGCAGAGTTCTCGAGAAACTCCGCCCTGAGAGACTTTTCCTCTGCAGAGTCCTTTGTAGACTTCTGATCTGATGCTGGGGACACGCTTTGGAGCGGTCTTCTCGCGGAAATGTAGAAGCAGTGCAAGGAAACGGAAGAGAGTTTAACTCGCGGCCGGATGCGACTCACCGGCCGAGAAAAGCAGAAAGGGCATCGAGAGCTAAACCAAGGAGAGAAGGGACGAGCGACGCAGACTCGTCGGTGTGACATTTTAATTGCGAGCGGATCCACTCGACAGATGCTGACCGAGGAATGTTTTCTTCCGTCCTCGTTTATTCTGCAGAGAGTGTAATAATCAGGGTACCGGGTCAGCTCGGCCTGAGGAGCAGCGAATAGGCCGCCGCAATTATTCTTCGAAAATCCATCGATCGAGGTGTGGACAGGAACGGCTTCGAGTGATTGGAACGATGCAGATAGAAATTGAGGCTGATCGTACTTCATGTTCTGCGGGGGGCTCAAGGATGAGCTCAGTCGCTGATCAGTGATGGGGAAAAGTTTCGAGCAGTGAAGCTCCGATATCTGATTCCACCGTCTAGTCTGAACTGTTGATGATTCATAGTGAACTTTATTCTCCAGCGAGTATCGATGGGAGAAATCAGCCGCGATCAGAGAGCTCGCTCAGAGAAACGTTCGAGAGTATTTTTGTTTATAAGAATTCTCCATGATTCTCGCTCGGTACCTTCTATTTCAGTTCGAACACGCCAGCTCGAAAATCAATATCCCTGCGAGGTCAACTCGAATGTCAAGCGATACACGATTCGGGGCTTGCGTCTTACGAGTCTATCGTCTTGATTCGATTAAGATGAATCATCAGGAAGCTAACGATGAAGCGCCGATAGCGCGAGGAGCCCCCAAGGGCCAAAAATAATGAGAATCGATTAACAAATATGCTCATAGCCAAGGACACATATGCGAGACGGTGTGTAATCAACTCCACGAAAACGTTGTTTTGAGCAACACCATGATCTTATTCATACATTCATACCCATATATGAGACTAGAATCTCTTGAGCTAGACCGCATGAGCGAGCCTTCAAAAAGTCCCACACATGCTGAGAAAGCAAATGAAGACACAGATGCCATTCGGATGAAGGTAGTCAAAGTCTTATACGGACCGGGAATAGAAGCGTCAACAGGAAGTGTCCAAGAGGTGCTCAGCTCACTGCTTGAACTACGGAATCTTCTGGGATCTTATGGGCATCATTTTGCGATCTAAAATTTTTATATAATGCCTGGCTGTTGGATGCCTCGGAAGGTAGCTGCACGGAGTAGCTCACGATCGGCGGGAATCGAGAACTCATGGATGATTGTAGTGGAGGAAAGTGGGAACGATTGGGTAACAGTAGCGAGAAATCAGTGGCGGATCCAGAATTTTTTCTTGGGGGGGCAAAGCCACTGTCTCGGTAGGGCCCAACCGCCGTTGATGCTTGGCCTCAACATGGAGCCCTATGGGCCGGAAGGGGCTCCTGGGGGGAGAGAAGGGGAAAGGCCCCGCGGCCCTCCCTCTGGATCCATCACTGGTAGGGAGAAATCATCATTGATCAAAATTTGCATTGGGACACGCGTTGGCTTTTCAGGTCTTTGTCGCGACCCCAAATCGATCCATTGATTCTGAGATGTACGCACAAGTGGACAAAAAGACGATCCATTGATTTAATCAAATGAGAACCGCGCGTAGTGCCGACGAATTAAATGTGAGTAATTGTACAAAGCTCAGTGATCATGACGCGGGTATCCGGACCATGCGATGCGAATGAGACTTGATGCAATTTCGGAGCCTGATCTAATCGAGCTCGGTTGAAAAGTCGACCATTATGAGACTCTCATCTTTTTCATTTTTCATTCCCGGAATGGATCGAATTGAGTAGGCAGCAACCAGAGCTCAATCAATTCACAAACTTCTCTCGGGGGACGCGGAGTCTTCGAATGGGAGGCGGCTGCACGGGCGAGCTCTCACGGCGATGCATTGAGTGTTTCAGCCGGAGACGGGCACTCCCAGAAAGCAGTCAGATGCACCTAGACGTTGTCAATTATTGAATCGGCT